GTGTCTGCATTCAGGTTCGTGGCTCCTATCTGGTCTTGGATAAAGCACCAGCCTCCCATGCTTAGCCTGCCAGCTGTGATTTATGAACGACATTATGTAATCAGATTTCTGTACTCTGCATCTATACATCGAGTTGTTACTAGCAAATACGCGCTTGCAAGAGAACAGAAAGAGCTTAGACTGCTAGGTTGTCCTTGAGATCATGCGCGATCGGGCAGGAGCCTTGGCTTCTCTTCGCAGATCTTAGCTGTGGTGTTGTTTGCAGTGGCAGCAGCCGTCGTCATGGCATTGAAGCAGCGGCGGCTACGGCAGGATGAGCAGTAGCGTTAGCAGTGGCTGTAGAACTGGCAGTAGCGGTGAGTGTGGCAGGAGGAGGATGCGGGGGAGGCAGCCATGTAGGGAGGGAGGGTCACGATCAGGAACAAGACTGTGCAAATGTTTGCATTAGTTTGGGAATAGTCAGCTCGGCAGCCACGGCCAAGGCACACAGCATTCTTCAGAAGGCTGCGTTCCAGGCACTGGAGACATGACGCTTAAGGTTTCATTGGGAAATGCGGATAGCGAGGACCTTCACAACATTTGCATCCTGTGCGGGGAAGCTTCACAAACTTTGAAGCAGGGCACTTAAAGGATGGTTCCGAAAACTCTGTTCCGGCGAGTTGCGCTGGATCGTCGATTGATATAATTGACTGGAGTGTCCGAGGGAAGTCCGTGTTGGGGTTCTTGGGGAGCCCCAGATATAGCATATTCCTGCTGGCAAATTTGCTGTAAGTTTTGTCTCGGATGGATCCACTATATATACACCCCCCCCAAAAAAAAAATGTCGTATAGTTGTTATGATTAGAAGGAGTTTTAATATGGGAAACCTCTTTTTTTAGTGCAAATTCCCAATGGGCTCGCTCAGGTTGTTGATTCCTGCAAGCTGCATCTCTCACATTTTCATCAACTTCCCGGAGCCGTGTCGGGCCGAGCTGCCCTCTTTGGACTGCCGCCAGAAGCTCATGCAAAAGTTGCCTGATCCATGGATTGCTTTCGCAAAAACATATACAAGCTTCTGCAAGAAGTTTTAACTCACTTCTGAAGCCTTTAACCGTTTGTAGATGGGTTCTTGGTCCTGAGCTCTTCTTGATCAGGCCCTTCGTCTCTGGGGATGAAGCAGCAGAGCACTGCGCCCGGCTTTTTGAAGGCGATGCCCAGGTTTCGGGATTTGAGGGGCTTGGGCTGACGGTATGGGGTGTTGAGGTTTCGGGTAGAAGGTTTAGGAGCTTAGGCTCGCGTTGCTGCGCAAAATTGTTACTAACATCACTACTGAGTCACTGCTTCTGTCGCAGCTAACTTGTTTTCTCTTATTTCGGAATTCCTTATTACATACTACGGTTGTAGGCTGAACCTGTAGTGCTATATCTGCGAGTAGTAATTAGTAACACTGCTAGCATTTCTCAACGTCATCAGTGTGCCTGTTCCTCAAATGACATGATGTAATTGCTCCGCTAGCCATCCAAATTTTCACGAGGATGGCAAATTTGACTCTCTGATTGTTGCTGGACAAACTACCATGAACACTGATGATTCCGACTGTCATCATCATTACCATCTTCAGCGTCATCAACAACTTGGGTGGCTTTCTTGCGAGTTCCCACGGCCATATTGTTCTCAATTGAAACCTTTGTCGTCACCTTTTCACAGTCACCTACTTACAGCTATGAGGATAGAGACCGTTTTCTTTATCAGAAAATGGTGCCTGGGTATTTCTGCAAACCATGGTGTTTGTGTATGCTGCAGCCGCCTTGGCTTCTCCTGGCTATCCCAACAAGAGAGCTCGTGATTTTTGAGAACCCTCCTCACTTAAGGCTCCAAGGTTCAGTTTCTTTGGGATTCGTGTACTGAGGTCGAGCTTCCACATGTTGACAGATGAGCTTTTCGTACAGCCTCGACCGCAGTAGAGCTGTAACAACCACCCGTTTGCTCGAGTACTCTGGGTTTTGAAATTCATTGGCAGCCCGATTACTGGTTTCCTGAAGACTCATGAGGTGTCGCCATCATGTCTTTCAACCTTGGCATTTTTGCTAGAGGTTTCCTTGCATCAGAAACATTTGATAAGGCTTGGTGTGATTTCGGGAAATCTTCAGGAACGCAACAAGATACTTGGAGCGGCTAAAGGCCTTCCGAAGATGAGGGGTTTATCAAAGTGGTAGTTTCCCTAGATAAGGGGACCCCAATATAGACCCCAATATACTATAGTCCTTATTATAGGGACCCCCAAAAAGGTACCCCTAATTTTGGGAAACCCCCAAGTAATCCTGACAAAGTCCTTGGCTGCGACTCGCTCAGTCCTCTCATTAATTCTGGTTCCCCTCTCTACCTGGGGGTTTCCCAACATTACTATAGGGGTACTTTTCTGGGGGTCCATAAAATGAGGATTATAGTATTTGGGGGTCCATATTAGGGTCCCCTTACTTATGGATATGGAAACTACCACGTGGGTTCCCAAAGGAGACCGGCATGTTGAGAAACCCAATCCCAAACTGGCCTGGAACCCCCTCCACATGGCCCCCTCACAAAGAACAGAAGTCCCGTTTAGGGGCTCCATGCTAAACCTTGAATTCTTATAACTTAGGACTTGGGTTTCTGATTCATAATCTTACATATTCCTGGGGTCTCGAAGTGCCTGACATATAAACCGCACGGTATACCTTAGATCCAGCCCCCTCCCAGCAATATTTATTATCAGGGATGAAAAGAATTATAACCGGACTATATTACGGTCCTCTCAACCTGTTATACCACTATTGCAGGGTGGGGGGGTCCTTTCTACATGTACCTAGGATGGATCGAGTCCTGCAGAGTGGCGGCCGCATCACCGTCCTCTCGGATAACGCGAGGCGGGAGCCCAAGATGTGAGGGGTGGAAGATCCTGGGTTAAGGGTTGGGGGTTTTGGGCTTAGGGTTTAGGGTTGGGTTGTATGGGGATATTCCCCCGAGAACGGGGACTCAAATGGAAAAGAACATGGACGATTAAATGGAAACATATGGAAACTGGGGTCCAGATTATGGGGGTTCTGTGGGGTTCGCGGGGGCATTCCCAAAAAAGGGCCTTACATAATCCCTGTAGGAACTCCCGCCCTTCTAATTAGTTCATTTCCGGGGACCCATGAGCCCCCCTAGTCAGAAACTCCCATGTCGTGCCAGCAATGGGGGTTACGGGGGATCTACGGGGGATCTACGGGGATCCACCATGAGTTTCCGAATTTGTGTATGCGTTGAGGTTCTTTGTTTGGGACCTCGTATGTCGCGTAGACAATCTGGGATGCCCAAGAGATCTTTCAACTTGTTTGGATACACATACATGTGCAGCATTACGAAGCTTCAGCTCTTGGCGCCAGGGTACTCCAGCAACAGAGTGCTTGCAGGCCTGCTACTTTGGGGAGGCCGAGTGTAGAGCCTACAATGCTGGTCAGTACTATTCCATAAGAGTCCTGGCATAGTTACTTGAATACTGACCGGAAGCCTTCTTCAACTTTCCCAGATGTAACGTACCACTAGTCCACTCCAGCATGCATGAGGTACATGCGGACTCTGGCAAAGACTGTGCACTGCTCAGTCTGTGAGTGAGTTCGGGCAGGAAGAAGTGTAGTAGAGTGAATAGAGGGTCCCACGCTTCGTCTGACCTTTAGAAGCAGCACTCTCTATAATTTAATCTTGACATCCTTCCGCTGGAGTCGGCGATCCCAAACTTACTGCGGAGTAGAGAAAGGGACCCTGTTGCAGCACATACATAATCCCAATTATGGATGGAGTGGCTCTCATTTTCATTTCCATTCCTTCATGTCCTGAATCTCCAGTAGTAAATTCCCTGCGCAGTTGAGGTTGCCAGCCGCAGCCTCAGATCATGGACCTTCACGAACTTGCAGGGTCCTGATTCTCAGCATGATGATCCATAGTGCTGTCAAGACTATCAGCGTTGTGATCCAAATTTCATATTCATGTTGGAAAATGTGGTTATGATTCTTCCTTGGCTTTGAATCTGAATTTGGGGATTTCCCAAATTAGGGGTACCCTTTTGGGGGTCTCCGTGAGAAGGCTTATAGTATATTGGGGTCTGTATTGGGGTCCCTTTGTTTTGGGAAATTACTATTTCCTGCAGGCCTCTCCTCTACTGGCAGGGCCAGCTTCGCCTCCGCATGCTCCTTGGAATCGCTCGGGTCAAGCTTTACGTTCCTGACGCTGACCTTCTTGTGAGCAGTTCTCAATTTTTTCGGAGGTTGCTGGGGCACTACTGGTATGCCACATCCTTTTTTTGGGGGGGGGCCACATTCGGGAAAGTACGCTTGTGCAAGCTGTTGTCATTTTTTTTGGCACGGTTTTCTTGCCGATTGCTGGCTCCGTGTGAAGTGACCAAAGATAGCCTCCGGTCACTGGATCTCATGGTCCAGGCCAGAGATGATTCCTTGGTGCTATGAGCAAGCAATGGCTAACCCCGCATCTCACATGCATATACTCCCCCCTATGGTTTCCAACC